GCTTAGAAGAAAAGTATCCCAAGGGAAATGTGCATTTTAGAAGATCTAATACAATGGACACATGTGGAGGTTTGCTATGCCAGCATGAAAAGTGAGGAACAGTCATTTTTCAGCATGTATGATTTTACTGCCTAACATAAAAAAGTAAGGGATAGATGGGACCTTAATACCTCATATTATCTGCTCCTGTTTTCATAGTAGACTCTCTATTTCAAAAAAAGAAAAAGAGGGAGATGGCATCTTAAATCTCAGTGTATGGGCTCCTACAGAAGAGTCATTTTAAAGGATTCACATATCTTTGAAACCCCTGAAGTTAAAAGGTTAAACAGTCCTCTAAAGTGTGCCATGAGGGTTAACACTTGTAACTTAAAAAATTTTTAAATTTACAATGTTATTTAAGCATTTTTAGTGAAACATTTCAGATTGTCAAATTTGTACAATTAAGAGTAGTTTCCTTCTTGTCTCAGAGCAATAAATAACTGTGCAGACTGAATTAAAGTGGGGCAAAAGCATCAAATAAGTTATTTACTGATGACAAGTCCTAATTTACTGTACAGACAAAGTTTAGAATAGGATATTGCAAATAGCAAAGGTAATAATGAACTAGGAAAAGGTTAAATTCTAGTTGAGAATAACAGCTTGAGTTATGATGCTTAATGTATTGGGTTGACTCTGGTGTCTAATTTACTCATTCTCTTTATGGACAAAGGGCTCTTAGAAAAACCTTAGGTCGTAGGTTTTGAACAATGTTTAACATGTATATTTAAACAAAAAAGGAAGTGAAATATTTTGGTAAGATGCAATTTGCCAGTTGCTAATGGAAGCATCACATAGAGGGCTATTTCAAAATTATATACCAAATATTAGGCTTCTAAAATGCAATGTTATATATCTGGGGATACAGTCTCTATACCAGGTGGGTCACCCATGCTTCTAATTCCTTTCTTAGCTCAGCCTTTATGAACTGTTAAGCTTTCTGTTTAACCAAGCACCTAGATGCTCCCTCGGCCTTCCCTCCAATTTTCAACACAGTCTACCTCGTTACTGAAGGCTTCAACTGCACAATTATTACACTATCAACATTTAGTCAAATTATCAAAAAGAAGAACACATAATGCAAGCATATATTTTAAATAACAAGTAATTTAAAATACTTGTTAAAGAGTGAATGAGTGGACCAGAAGAAGAAATGTTATTTGGATAACATTTATTTGAAATAACAGGTTTAGCCACTAGATGTCACCCTTTTTATGCAACAAAGACTGCTTCACAAAGTGTGACATCAATAGCAGTTACATTTATCCCTATATTTGATGTTCTCCATATGGTTCTCTGCTACATAATGAATACCTTAACAGTGAAAAACTCTTTGGTCTCTCTAAAGCTCTAAAAGAACAGAAAGGTAAGGTGACGGAAGGCTTCTTAAACACAGTTAAACCAGCTGATCTTGGAGTTCTAACAACTGAAATATAATTATTAATTGGCAAATACAGTCAGTAGTCACACAGACTCTAAAGTTTACTGAAAATTTAAATTGGATTTGACCTTGGAACTATAAATGGTATTCGTGGCCGGGCTCAGTGGCTCACACCTGTAATCCCAATGCTTTGGGAGGCTGAGGTGGGTGGATCACCTGACCTCAGGAATTGAGACAAGCCTGGCCAACAAGGTGAAACCCTGTCTCTTCTAAAAATGGAAAATTATCCAGGTGTGGTGGCAGGCACCTGTAGTTCCAGCTACTTGGGAGGCTGAGGCAGGAGAATTGCTTGAACCTGGGAGGTGGAGGTTACAGTAAGCCAAGATCATGCCACTGCACTCCAGCCTGGGCAAAAGAGTGAGACTCCATCTCAATAATAATAATAATCATAATCATCATCATCATCATCATCATCATCATAAGAAAACCTCCTGTCCCCCATCTTCACAATACTTTTATATATGGAACATTATTGTAACATCTGAACAATCAGTCTTATTTGGACGACGTGATATTGTAAGGCTTTCAGGTCTTTGTTTATTACTCTTCTCAGGTGGTTTTTGATTTTCAGATGAATAAAAAAATGTAACACACTAAGGGACACAAAGTTAAGTTTCAGCAAACGGTTCTTTTCCTATCAGGGGCAAAGAAGAGATGATTGGAAAATATCTTGCCCTTGATTTGTCCAAATCTGCTGCATTCCATTCCTAATAAAAGTGCTCCATTCTCCTAACACAAATTAAGTGTAACATAAGATACCTAGTACAGAATGGAGAGCCAAGGCTAGCAGGTGACAGCACTGAAATTAGTCACTGACATCACTTAAAAAGAAGTTTTAGGAGTGTGAGAAAACAATAAACGGAAAAACAACCAAGGTTTTTCTTAAGGTGTCCTTCACGAGTCAAGCTCAATTTAAGTCCCATAAATTTCCATAGCTAAATTATTAAAATGCAACAATAGTTAATAACATATAATTTTCCATAAACATTAAAAGCAAGGTTCTCATACACATACAAAATAAACAGCCATAAGAAATTTCATTCAACTCACTAAATAGCAGGGGGAATCAGTAAGATGGTAGGAAGGCCAGAAAACTCTCTTATAGCATATAAGAGAGATTATATCTCCAAGGAATGGAGATTATATTGTACAGTCAGTCCATCAAAGGTGTGCAAAAATAAACTTGGTGACAGTTATAAACTAATGTCCTACAAAATTACAAACCATAAACTTTGGGGTTATAGTTTCTGCTTTAGAGAAATGGTCGCCACTGAGCAAAAGTCTACCTACATGTTAGCATGCAAATTCATAGTGAGTCCACAAAGTCGGTAGAAGTCAGTACTAAATAATTATCAAACAATACTTGGGCTAGGGTGTTACAGAATGCAACCCATCTTTTTCCTGTATTTTTTAAATTTTAATTTTTTTATATAACCCCACACATATTGATCATGTATAATGCTGTATTAGTCCATTCTCTCACTGCTGCAACGAACTACATGAGACTGGATAATTTGTTTAGAAAAAAAGAGGTTTAATTTGTTCACAGTTCCACAGCTGTACAGGAAGCATGGCTGGAGAGGCCTCAGGAAACTTACAATCATGGCAGAGGGCAAAGGGGAAGCAGGAACATCTTACATGGCCAGAGCAGAAGGAAGAGGGATAACGAGGAGATGCTACATACTTTAAACAACCAGATCTCATATGAACTCTATTATGAGAACAGCAAGGGCGAAGTCTGCTCCCATGATGTCATCACCTCCCACCAGGCCCCTGCTTCAACATTGGGGATTACAATTCTACATGAGATTTGGGTGAGGACACAAATCCAAACCATATTAAATTCTTAAGTAGCTACATTTAGTGTTTTATATACATCAACTCATTTTATTCTCACAATAACTGCTTATGGGTAGGGGCTGATACTATCTCAGTTGAGAGACCAGAACACTGAGCAGTCAAAGAAGATTCTCCAGGTTACAGACCACCAAGAGACCAACTGAACTGTGAACCTGGTCTACCTAGATGGTCTTTCTCCTGGGAGCATAGACTTAACACAGATTTAAACATTGTGTAGAAGATTTTGAAATTCCACAAAATGAGGCATATATGAGCACAATACAACCCCTTTGCCCTTGTTTCTTGTCCATGGTGAGAGAAATCTCAAGTGCAAGACCTGTGCATGCTAGGATGTCAAAGATTAACTCCTAACACTGACATCTCTAGAATTTGTGTTTATTACTTCTTCCTCGCCATCATCCCCTCCACCCTGGGGCTGGCTTGCCCTTTGGGTTGATATAATACATCAGGCCCTTTATCTCAATTTGAATAAATGGAGAATGAGAAATAGCCAGAGTTTGGAGTCACTATACAAAACAAGCAATATCTTATACACTGTTTATGTGGAAAACATGGTATTCCTATAATATATGCTTTTTAATCTTCTCAGAGATGTTGGGACATAGAGGGAAATATAATGCAATAACAATGATATTCAAGTAAGATGTCTGCCTGACTGAATACCTGTCTAAAGAAAATGTTCTGTTTAAGTTTAAAACCTTAAAACCTTGAAAAAATTTTAGACACAATTAAAGAAACTATAGAAAATCATTTTAAATTCCTAGGATTTATATGCATAGAACTTTAGAAATGTGAGGTGCTCCAAACTCTATTACTAATTCAGCTTCAATTCTTGTAAAGATTACACCACTCAGCCAGTGGCTGAGAAAATGCAGAAAAGTAATCAAACATTATTACATTATCTATTAGGAGTCTAGACAGTCTCCTCATCACACATACGCCAATACAACAACTATGAAAACGGTTTTTTTCCCCAGCATATTATTTCTCTATCTCCATACCACAAAAAGAGTAAAAGGAACACTTACGAGTTTCCCAGTCAAATAAAAACGTGTAAGTTTGTTGGTGTATTACATTTGCATTTATACTTGCTCTAAAATATGAAGAGTTCTATAAAACAGAAAAGTATTACTTTTTATGTAGTCAGTCTGTTGTTTGGCGTTCAGCTTCTTCGGATTTCATGGATTATAAAGTCTTTCAGGACAGAAGATATTCCCTACAAGCCATCATGTAACATTTATAGCTTTAAAGGTAGATGTAATTTTAATAATAACATGCCATATTTAAGGCTCTATTAGGCACAGCTCTGGTTGCCTTTGATTTATTCATCAATGTGAGGAATCTGAAATTTTCTGAAGTTGAATTTTTGAAAAAAATATTGAAGTGGTCTCTGCATTAAACCATCTGCTCTACATGATTGCAGTGACTCAATTTTAGCACTAAAGCTTTCCTTTTTTATTAAATTTCTTGTTCAACCAATTGAATTCTTTGAAAAGTATTTATTTCAAATGAAGTAAATTGTTGTTAGTAGAGTAAGAAAATAATTATGATCCAATCCTAATTCCTATTGGATATCATCTTAAATAACCCATGTAAATTTAACATATTATTAACAAAAATTAATTTATTCATAATCATAGAATTATCTGAAGATGGTACTCACGCAGGTTTAATCGTATGGGCATGTTTTTCATGAACAAAGGCACCAGCAATACCTCCTGCTCCTGCATTTAAGTACTAGATTGAAAACAAATTAAATTATGTGGGTTTACTTGAATATATGACAAAGCTAAACAATGCAGTCATTTGAATTTTTTAATCGAAACCACAACTTCTGACCAATTCAAAATATGTAATTATTTGTGTATTTATGATAAAATGCTTGGGTCACCTTCTTCAAAGAAAAACAAATTTAAAATAGTATTATTAGGTTGATAATAAATGTCTATTACTTTTACAGGGAAATTTTACTCCAGCTGGTAGAAAGCAGTTTTACTGAGGTCTGGCTTCAAAATTCATCTGTTGAAATTATTTGTCCTAAGATATTGTAATAATAATAAAAGTATATTTTTAAAACAAGTAAATTAAAATCGGTTTTATATTCATGCTCCCTGTAATTAAATTGCTTTCAAATATAAATTCTAAGTTGATTCTCTAAAAATTATATATGCAGAAATTTCACAACCTATCAATAAAAAAACTAAGAAGATCATCAATTTGAATTAAGTGTAGGACTTTTTCTCCAGAACCTCCTGACTTTTCCATAGCAGCCTAGGAATTGAAGGATTAATTTCTCTGTATTGATGGAAGTACTAGAATTAAATTACTTATCATACTATTCCATCATATAACTCTATTAACTAAAATCAGAAAATATAATAATAAAAGAAATAGGGAATGTAACTCAAATACTTTTAAGATCCAGTTTCTTTTCCAGACTAATGTCAATGTGCAATAAAGGGATGTAACTGTCTGAACTCGTTTGTACCTTGTAGGAACACCAGCAGGCAAAGTCGACTCCCCAGTCATGTAAGTCGAGTTCAACATTTCCAACTGCATGTGCTAGATCAAAGCCAACATAACAACCCTAGGGAAAGAACATAATAATCAGTGTTAAATTGGCTCAATGATTAGAAATAATAAGTACAAGTATCTTTAAGAAAATATTTGACAAACTTTTGTACCATAAATTACGGTTTGCTCTTCGATGCCATGATTCACATAGCATGATCCACAATTCCCAGGATGCTTTCAGGAGGCCCACCAGATCAAAGCAATTGTCATAACACTAAGACATTCTTTGCCTTTTTCACTGGATTGGCATTTGCATTGATAATGCAAAAGCAGTGATGAGTAAAACAGCTGCCACCTTAGCAGGAGCCAAGGTAGCAGCACCAAACTGTACTGGCAGTCATTACAGTGGTCCCAGCCTTTCAGTTGGAGGCATGATGGGAAAGTTTCATGTGAAAATCTCCTTGTGAACGCAATAAACATGATCAATTTTCATTAAATCTCAATGTCTTAATTCTTATATTTTAAATGTTGAATGTGGGAAGTACACATAAAGAAAGCCCTTGACCACATTCTGAGGTAGGATGGCTAACTTAAAGCAATGTATTTATGCAATTATTTGAATTGCAAGCTGAACCTGCTATTTTTATGTCATGGTCAATCATTTCTCCATGAAAAAGCAACTGACAAACAATGATAATTCATATATGTGATGTATTTTAACAGATTTTTTTGAAAATGGATTGTCACTTCAAGAAAACAACTTAAGTATTTGCTCCCAATGATAAAATCGGATTTGCCAGGGGAAATTAGAATACTGAAAAACTTATATCCGCCTCCATGAGTAGGACTAGCTCCCATTATTGAGATAATTCTGATGAGTATAGTAGTAATATGTACTAAAAATATTGTATGATTAAATATATTAACATTTGGAAAATACACATAATTCAACAAACCAATATTTTCTGAATGGCTAATGCTTGATGTTACATCTTGTGCATTGATGAGGGATCTATTCAAAATGCAAGTTCAGCCAATGCATTTTTATATAATAAAGTACAGAAAGTTCAGTGTTCAAATTCCATACCACAACTCCTAAAAAGTTCTCACTTGTCAAATTCTGATGCAATATCAAACAATACACAAAATTGACTGAAAGGCTATTCAATGACTCCTGCCTTTTCTGACTACATATCTCATGAGTAACTATTTGCTTTTTTTTTCCTCAAAAAGAGGAAAAAAAGAGATTGAATGCAGGTATAAAAAAACAGCTGTCTTCTGTTAAGTCAGGTGTTAATAAGATTTGCCAAGTATAACAATGCTATTGATTTTTAAAGAAAATATAGTTTGTATAACAGTATTATGCTTATGTTAATATGTAATGTATTTGTTGTTAATCTAAAATAAATAAATACATTTAATTTTTTTGTTTCAATTGTAAATACAGTGAATATAGATATAGAGCCAATGTCAAATCTCCTAAGATCCTCAGTGGTTTTTATTTTTTATTATTTATTTATTTTTTAGAGATGGGGTTTTACTGTGTTAGCCAGTTTGGTCTTTATCTCCTGACCTCGTGATTTGCCTGCCTTGGCCTCCCAAAGTGCTAGGATGACAGGCATGAGCCACCATGCCTGGCCCTCAGTGGTTTTTAAGAGTGTAAAAGGTTTCCTTTCACAAAAAGTTTCTGAACTGCTGCTTTGGTTTACCCTAGTAATCTGAGTCAACAGTTTTCTTGTTTAGCACTTAATCCCACTTTATGTGCATATTTAATCAGTTCAAGTATATACACTGTTATAAATTGTACTAATAGTTCTGCTTCTCTGTCATCTCTTGTGCCCATGTTATTTGCCAGATAAGTTTTAGTTTCTCCCACTGTGGGCAAGCTGTAAGTCTGTGCCACTGAGATCAGCCATATGACTTGTTTTGATCAATAATGTTAGCACATGTCATAAAAAGTCTCAGGTAGGATGGCTATCTTAAAGCAATGTATTTATGCAAATATTTGACTTACTCACTTGAGTGTCTAAGCTTGCTCTTTATTGCTGTCTGCCATCTCTATGAGTAGAACTTGCTTGGGCCAAACTGCTGGCCCAGATGGAAGATAAAAGAAATGTGGATCATAATCATCCTCACCTGAACTCAATCTGGCTAAGCTGCTCCTACTTGCCCTCCCCACCCCTCGCAGTTGGCCACAGAAGCATGAGTGAGCTCAGCTGAGACTAGCAGATCCCTTCCAACCAAGTCCTACCGTGATGCTCTGACACCAAAGTGACCCATAAATCAATGGTTATTGTTTTAAGCCAACAAGTTTTGAGATGGTTTGTTACAAAGCATTTTAAGGCAAGAGCAAATTGATACACTCAATCCAAAAAATGTAAGACATCCTTTATTTGGTCTTAGGAATTACAACTGCCATTCCTCTTAAAGAGTACAAGATGCCAAAGGATTAAAAGACGGAGGTTTGGATCTGTTACTGTTTGAGTTCTTTTAGTTCTCACATTAGAATAAGGTTATCAATCCTTGCTTAATGCTATTCTGTAAGCAAATATGCATACTTTGATATAATACAGATCCTCAATGTAAGTCAGCTGTTTTATATGGTGCTTAATTTTAAAAAAAGTATTCTTATCAAAAAATAAAGAGGAAGAATGATGCTATTTGGGAGAGAATTTCAAAGTTGAATGTTAACCGTACTGTCTTCTCCATACACAGTGACTTTGTACCCTAAGAGTCTCTTCTCATCTGAGTCCATTCTGTCTTATTTACTTGTCAAGAGGTTTTAAGTGTTTTGTGTGTCTGCCTAGTGGCAAGCACAATGTTAAAAAAAGCAAATCTGTTTCCACTAAAGTCCCAGAAGACAAAATGGAACACTGAATATATATAATCCAAATCGTACCCAAATTAGAAATGGTAAGTTTCTAATTTAATTGCTGATGATCAAAGTCATTTAACTTTCTGCATATCAAAATGTTAAAATGTTTACTGAGAAAAATACAAAGATTCCTTCCCACATTGAGACAACTTTGTACATGAACATGAATTTTAAAACTGATCGTTAATTACAGGTGATAGAACTTTGCAAAACATTTTACCTCTGGTTTTGTTTATGATTAGTTTACCAAATCAAATGCACTGGAGGCACACAATCCTTAATGGAAATGGAATTAAAGTTTTTTTTTTTTTTTTTTTTTTTTTTTTTTGAGACAGAGTCTTGCTCTGTAGCCCAGGCTGGAGTGCAGTGGCATAGTCTTGGTTCACTGCAACCTCTGCCTCCCAGTCTCAAGTGATTCTTTTGCCTTAGCCTCCTGAGTAGCTGGGATTATAGGTGCCCGCCACCAGGCCCAGCTAATTTTTGTGTTTTTAGTAGACACAGGGTTTCACCATGTTGGCCAGACTGTTCTCAAACTTCTGACCTCGTGATCCACCCACCTTGGACCCCCAAAGTCCTGGGATTACAGGTGGAGTTACAGTTTTTGAAGTAAATATTTGAATAAATTTTAGAAGTATTCTAAGACCTCCTAAGAAAAATTAACCCCAAATTAGAAATACAGGTGTTTTCCCTAGAGAATAGGCATGCAAAGTATGGTCTGTTTCTGTAAATTTAATGCTGAATCGTAGCCGATCTTATTTGTTTCAATATCGTCCATGGCTGCTTTTACTCTACAGAAGCAGAAATGAGTTGTTACAACAGGGACCATATGGCCCACAAAGCCTAAAATATTTGCTACTTGGTTCTTTACAGAAATATTTGCTTGCTTCTACCCTATAGCATTGGTTTACATAAAGAAAACTCACTATACTGAAAAGTTAATTAATTAAAAATGTCATTCACTATAATATGACTGGAGGTAGTATCTCACAAAAGGAAAGTTCTTACCAGCACAATATAACTGATTTTGGGGGGAGGAAGGGAGATTAATTTATTCTTTGTTTTACACCAAAAAAAATGAGCAATACATATCATGAAAATAAGACAAGTGCTCCATTGTAATGCAAGTTTAAAGAGTAATAGAACATAAATATAGTTAATCTTTATCAAAACTTAGAAGTCATCAAATCATCAAATCCTAGGTTTGCAGACTGTTTAGCTTTAATAGACACACACACACACACACATTTATTTGTTTGCATTTTAAGGTACACTTATTACATGGAACTTCCATATGGAAAGAAATAAAAGTTAATTATTTTAAATTTTAAACCATCTTTTCTTCTCATCAACATTTCCAATTAAAGCAACTTTTATAAAGCAATTTTTACAGCTCATATTTTCAAAGATTTGTTTTTAGAACTCAATTTTTCTAGGAAAACTCAAGAAATAGAAAAAGCAGCACTTTTATTATCAATCACTTATAAAGAATGGCACATTGAAGAAACCACAAAACTTTACCTACAACATCCCATTATTAAAATCCCTATGGCCACATTTGTGGCACCATGCTGAAAAATCAATTACAGCTTCTACAATATGCTTAATGCATTTGTAATTATTTCCCCATTGGTTGGTATACAATATAAATTATTAAAACATAAAATGTATTGAGAAAAGAACTGTAAGATACAACCATATCACTGCAAAGTGATTTCACAAAAGTGTCACTAGATGGCAGCATCGTAAACATAAAAAAACTAATCGTTCTCCAAAACCTGTCTACAGCCACCCAGTTAGATATTTTCATTGTTTTGCCTCATGTTTTTGCCACATGATAGGCACAGGTGAAAGCATACACTCTATACTTGAGTACCTACTTTATGCAATTTTTCAATAAAAATCAAGTATTTTTCAACACAGTTTATTTAAAATTACCCATAGGTGCTCACACTCATATTGACACAACCACACTCACACTGACTCAGCTCACACTCATATCGACACAACCACACTCACACTGGCACAGCTCACACTCATGACACAACAAGCACAGCATTGTTAGCCAGCATGCCACCTTACTTTATAATTCATTCAAAACTATTGCAATCATTTTCAGGCCATTCTGATTATTTCCAGCCTGCCTTCCTCCAAGGAATGTTCTAAATCATACATTTGATTATAAGATTCTCTGCCTCCTT